TGGGTAATACAGTTGCCAATTCGACTATTTTTTATGTTTATAGAGAAAGTTGTGTCTTAAATGTCGTATTGCAGTTTATTCTATATATGTATAATTATATATCTTATATTAAATATATGTTTGTTTTTAGGTGAGTAATCAGACGGTCCATTAGTCAGGTGTTTTTATTGCCGAAAAATTTAAACATGGCAAATATTTCCTTCTCTTTCTTTCTTTTAACCTGTATTAGTCGTGTACAGAATACGTGTCATTTTAGCCAAGACGCTATCATCTACTCACGCTTTCCTGGAAAAACAACAAGCATTTGCACTTTTCTAGTAAGCTACGACACATAAGCAACGGTTCCAAGCTCAACACTTTAGAACAGAACACTATTGTTCACGGTTATAAACTCATGGAACCGCCTACCCGCCGAAACCGGAAATGCCAAAACTGCTTTATTTCAAAAGCCAGCTACACAAAACTTTGACAAGACGCCGGCTTCTTTATTGTGCGTCTATAATGTTTTTATGGCACAGGAGGCATATGAAGCCTATAATATATGAATTACTCTATAACTCTTTACTCTATCATTGTTTCGGGGGGACAGGAAGCCAGAGGGTATTCATATATATTTGGCTTATGTTGAAATCTCTCCCCCCCCCCCACCCCCCAGGTCGATTTACTGACGTCGCCCAGGATGCAACCCCACAAGCTAATTTCTGAGTACGTATTTACTGCTAGGTGAACACATGCATTCGGTGAAAGGAAATGTCCAATCCAACCATTTCTGTCCCGTCCGGGATTCGAACCCGGAATTCTTGATTGTGCGTCGAGAAGAAACCCGACTATACTACCGGGACCCTTACGGTCCCAGTAGCAGAGTAGAGACAAAGGAACAGTTGGAGGCGCGCACAGACGGGAACACGTCCAGTACCGGGACCCGCGCCATGTGGGACTACCCCACTCCACCTCCCATCGGGGGGTGATGAACCCATGTGGAGTTTTATTTTTGGGGGGTTTATTTGGTTTATTTTTATTTTTGTTTGGTATTTGGTATGTATTTATTTGGTTTCTGGTATGTATTTATTGTTTTGTTTTTTATTTGGTTTACCTACTGAATGTGCATTGTGGTCTTCTGCACATTATATTTACAAGGGGCATAATACACTTATTATAATTTCCATTGCATTAAGTTGTGACGGTATACAGTATTACGAGGAAAGGCTATTGAAATTAAACCTCAAGTCACTGGAAGTTATTGGCAAGTCTTACCAGTGCGGGGTAGGGGGGGGGGTCGCAGGACTGACCCCCCCCCTCCCCCTTACTCATCCGGCACAACTGTTTCAACTCATGATTTCCAGACAAATATGTAACCGGGTAATTATAAAGTAATTAGCTGTTAATTATTTAGGATTACTTGTGCATAGGATAGGCATCCTTCGTCATTATTGTTAAGTGAACCATTTATAATTCTCTGATGAATTCTCTAACCTTGTATACTTTAATGAACAAATCCACAAGGCCGTGTTCATTTGATATATCACGTTATTGTGATTTGTGTGTGTATTGTATTCTTTAGTTACGTATTAGTATGTTCGGGTGCATGTGCCCCTACTTAGATAAAATAGGTATACAAGTATAGTTAGCTTTTGGGGACTAATAATAGATATCTAATCTAGGACTAATAATATAGATACCACAGACCATTACCCCTCATTTCTCCTAACCAACATTAATAAACCACCTCTAGATACAAGAAAGATAAGCTTTAGGCTGTACAATTAAACTTCTATAAGCAACTTTATAGCTGCTGCTGCTAATATCAACTGGGAGGCTGAATTAAGTGAGATAGTGAACATCAACCTAGCAGTGCAAACATTTCTTCAGAAAACTCTGAACCTTTACAACTCCCATTGTCCAATGCTAACGAAACAAGTTACAAATAAAAGGTTAAACACTCCATGGCTTACAAAGGGTATACTTAAATCTATTAATAAAAAATTGACCTTGAGAAGAAGTATAGGTTAGGAGTCGTCTCCAAAGAATTTATAAAAGATTTACTCATTAATGCTGTCTGAAAGAATCAGAAGAGCCAAAATAAAATACTACGAAAATAAATTTACCCAAATTAAGGGCAACATTAAGAAAACATGGAGCACTGTCTCCCAGATATTAGGATCAAAAAATATTTTGAATAAAAAAACAATTCTTCTATCCAATGACGATAGTGTGCTTTCGGCCTCAGACACTGCTATTGAATTCAATAGGTTCTTTTCATCCATTGGTACATCCCATAATTGCTCATGATATTCCTTCCTCACTCACTAATATTAAAGATTACCTTACAGGTAACTATCCACAGTCTCTGTACCTAGCTCCCGCTAATTCCTCTGATGTTAATGAGATAATCCTTTCCCTTAAAACTAAGTCAAGCGCCCTTGATGAGATACCATCTCTAATTTACAAAAAAAGCCTCCAGATTTCTAGCTCCTGCCATTGCATTGCTCTACACCAAATCACTTGAACCCCAACCCTTTCCGGATATTCTAAAAAAAAAGCGAGAGTAGCCCCAGTCCACAAATGTGGTGATCTCACTGATATCTACTACGATTACAGACCTGGGGTAGAGGAGGGGGGGGGGGGAGAACTACCAAAGCCCACCAGAAGTGACACACAATGTGGGAAGTCATTCATATTACCAAACATACAAGGCTTGAAACCAAAATCAAGAAATAAAGTTAAGTTCATAAATGGCCTCCTAATAGAATCGAACTCAATATTTGGTGCATTTACAGAAACCCACACAAAAGACCACATGGATAGTGAAATCTGGATTCCGAATTATAATCTATATAGATGTGACAGAGTAATTAGGTCAAGTGGAGGAGTAGGTCTGTATATTAAAGATGAGCTGGCATGCACAGAGCTCCTGAACTCGTCCAATGAGGTGGTAGAGGTACTTGGAATCAAGGTAGAAATCTACTTATTATTTTAATATACAAACCGCCAGATGCAACAGTTGAGGAATTCACTGAACAGATCCATAAAATAGAGAATATCCTTGATAACCTAGCATACCCAGTACCAGATATTATCTTCCTTGGAGACTTCAATCTACCCAGTTTACAATGGAGAATAGTAAACAATAACATTATAGCAGGAAGTCAACCTGGAAATAACCAATCACAGGTCAGAGAACTACTGAGATTCTGTGACAAATTCTCGCTCAGTCAGCAGATTACAGAACCAACTAGGAACGAGAACACGCTGGACCTGATATTCACGAACAATGAGGAGCTAATCTGAGACATTACTGTCTCAGACACTACGTACTCGGACCACAAGCTCATTGAAGTGCAAACTAACATTAATAACGGTAGTAGGCCCAAGAGAAACAACAAGCGAGAAGGGCTATTCAATAAATTCAATTTTAATAATAAGAGGATAGACTGGGAGAAAATAAACAGGGAACTTACAAACATTCAATGGGAAAATGTTCTAAGTAATAATAATCCTACACAAGGAATAGAAAAACTGACTTCTGAAGCATATGAAGTCTGTCTGAAGCATGTTCCTTTGAGGAAAGCCAGAAAGAGGTCCAATGTAGAAAGAGAACGCAGACGACATTACAAAAGGAGGAAGAAATAAACGGAAATGCTTAAGCAGACACGACTCTCCATACAGAGAAGAAATAATTTAAACAGGGAGATTGAAGAAATCGAACAGAGACTGAAGCATTCCTATCAGACTGAAGAAAGGCAACTAGAACAGAAAGCAATTCAAGAAATAAAGAAAAACCCAAAATATTTCTTCACATATGCTAAATCAAAAGCAAAACCCACTGCCAGTATTGGACCTATTCGTATTAGTGAAGGTTCATACACTGAGGATGACTAAGAAATTAGTGAAATCCTAAAAAAAAGCAGTATGAGGACATGTTTAGCACTCCGATACTCAGCATGAAAGTGGAAGATTCGGACAATTTCTTTATGAATGATACTCAAACACCTGTTAATATAACTGATATCAACACGAGCGTGGCAGATTTTGAAACAGAAATTGACAATATGCCCATGCACTCAGCCCCGGGTCCAGACTCATGAAATTCAATATTTATAAAGAAATGCAAAGTGCCAGTAGCACAGGGGCCTCGTAGTAAGGGGCCCTCGTAGCCTGGTGGATAGCGCGCAGGACTCGTAATTCTGTGGCGCGGGTTCGATTCCCGCACGAGGCAGAAACAAATGGGCAAAGTTTCTTTCACCCTAAGTGCCCCTGTTACCTAGCAGTAAATAGGTACCTGGGAGCTAGTCAGCTGTCACGGGCTGCTTCCTGGGGTGTGTGTGTGTGTGGTGTGGGAAAAAAAAAAAAAAAAAAGTAGTTAGTAAACAGTTGATTGACAGTTGAGAGGCGGGCCGAAAGAGCAAAGCTCAACCCCCGCAAAAACACAACTAGTAAACACAGGCACTCAGTACAGTGTGGAGGAAGAGCTTGGACACGGGGGAGATACCAGATGCGCTTAAAGCAGCAGACATTGCCTCTCTACACAAGGGTGGTAGCAAAGCATTGGCAAAGAATTATAGACCAGTTGCACTAACGTCCCACATAATAAAAGTATTTGAAAGAATGATCAGGAGTCAGGTCACTAGATTCATGGAACCAATGACCTCCACAATCCAGGCCAACATGGATTTAGAGCAGGAAGATCATGCCTCTCACAGCTACTTGACCACTATGACAAAATCCCTGAGGCATTAGAGGAAAAACATAATGCAGATGTCGTATACACAGATTTTGCAAAGGCATTCGACAAATGTGACCATGGAGTGATTGCACACAAAATGAGGTCAATGGGTATAACTGGTAAAGTAGGACGCTGGACACTCAATTTCCTGTCGAACAGAACACAAAGAGTAACAGTCAATCAAGTAAAATCGAGTCTGAGCGCAGTTAAAAGCTCTGTACCTCAAGGTACAGTCCTTGCACCACTGCTGTTCCTTATTCTCATATCAGATATAGAC